AGAATAGAATAGAATAGAATAGAATAGAACAGCAGAGTTGGAAGGGACCTTGGAGGTCTTCTAGTCCAACCCCCTGCTTAGGCAGGAAGCCATATACCATTTCAGACAAATGATTATCCAATCTCTTTTTTAAAAATTCCAGTGCATTTACAACTTCTGGAGGCAAGTTGTTCCACTGATTAATTATTATAACTATCAGGAAATTTCTCCTTGATTAGTTTCCACCCATTGCTTCTTGTTCTGCCCTCAAGTGCTTTGGAGAATAGTTTGACTCCTTCTTTGTGGCAGCCCCTGAGATACTGGAAAACTGCTATCATGTCATCCCTAGTCCTTCATTCTAGAGTCTCAACAATTTTTTTACATGTGGTGACCAAAACTGAATGCAGTATTCCAAGTGTGGCCTTATAAAGTGATCTTTATGATTCTATCCCCCTGTTTATGCAACCTAGAACTGTATTGGCTTTTTTTTGCAGCTCTAGCACACTGCAGCTGTCAAAAAATGATGGTAAACTAGTTAGAAAAAACTGATTGCTTTATGCCTTTTCAGTGTATAACTTCAGAACATTGTATTGAACAAAACTCCAGTTCTCCCAAAAGCTGTAAAGACTCTTAGCACTTTGGAACAACCATATTAATGCTCGCAAAAACACCAAAATCCAACCTGCCGGGTGCAATAACCAGTCGACAAAAGCTGGGACATTAGGCTAGCCTAGTGAGTCATTACAGCAGCTTGTAAATTGGTTGCTGCTAGCTATGGGTTGAAAAGTTAGACATTGGAGGTGCTGTGGAGTACATGGTCTCATTAGCATTTCAATGAGACCTGCTTGTTGACTCTGTGCCCAGCACTTGGGCAGCTCCCATCAGAATCTTTCTTTGTTGGTTTTAACTCCGGTCAAGTCCACTTGCCACAAGAAGGGAGTTAGGCACATTTAGTTTGTTTAGTCAGGCAGAACACTCAACAGGAAGGAAGGAAGGGAGGAAAGAGGAAAAGGATTCTCGGGCCTTGCCATTGTCTAGGCAACAGGACTGAAGCAGCCACAATCATTTCTAGTCTGTAAGGTGCACTTCAATCCCTTACAAATCCTCTCAATGTGGAGCAAGAGAGCCCAGACAGGGACAGATGGTGCAACCCCCTTAGTCTTTTCTTGTTTTGATTTTGTTTTGAAGTAAAGAAAATGGGGTATTCTTGCTTCCTTTGTCAGTGACATCACTAAAAAAGAAAGAGAGAATACCCCAGATTTCTAGGTAGCTTATTTTTTGGTATGTATTATTACCAGGGGTCCTTTTTTAAGGTTATTGGCCAAATTTTAAGGTTAAAAACCAAATTCTTGGTTTTTCTTTCCAGCAAATTACGGGAAACAATTGCATAAAAAGTTTTTGTGAAATTGTATGATGATGTTATTCAGCTGCCATTATCTACTAAACTTTGTCTGTCAGAGGAATTATTTTAGCTTGTTCCACTATAGTTCATTATAATAATTTGGAACTGTATTGTCATGTTTTACTGACCCACTTTCCATCTGTTTAATAACTGTTTAACTGTTTAATAAATTTATAGGCCGCCCAACCCCGGAGGACTCCGGGCGGCTTACAGAAATACATTTCAAAAGTAAAAATTAAAATAGAGAGAATAAAAACAGTTTAAAAGATCACTACATACACTCAATCTAGGTGGGGCTGGACCTCGTACATGAGGTCAACAGCCCCAGGCCTGCCAGAATAGCCAGGTTTTAGTAGCCTTTCGGAAGGCCGTGAGAGTGGGAAGGGTCTGGATGTCCGGGGGTAGATCGTTCCATAGAGTTGGAGCGGCTACAGAGAAGGCCCTCCCCCAGGGGTCGCCAGACGACATTGATTGGTCGACAGTACCCGGAGAAGGCCCACCCTGTGTGATCTTATCAGCCGTTGGGAGGTATGTGGCAGAAGAAGGTCTCGCAGATATCCGNAGCCTTCCATCTTTCCGAGGTGGGTAAAATGAGGACCCAGACTGTGGGGGCGATATGCTGACTCTGTAAACCGCTTAGAGAGGGCTGAAAGCCCTTTGAAGTGGTATATAAGTCGAACTGCTATTGCTATTTAGTCATAGATGGACTAGCAATATGTGTGCTCATTTATAAAGATATATATATTCCTATAAAGATATGTATATTCCTGTTCTGAAATTCAAGCTAAAAGAAACAGATTTTAAAGAAATCTACTGTTCAGATGTCAAGGAATGCACTCTAAATATGGCATCCTTTTCAATTATTTTTTTGCAATAATTTACAAAAAACATTTCCAAATAAAACAAATAAATCTGAATTCTCAACATCTACCTGTTGGTAGCCATGAAGTAGGAAGTTTGTGCTAGATCCTTGCTGGCTGAAAGAGAAAAGTCACAAGTTAAATTTGCTAACACTTAAGGTGTAGCACATTATGGATTTCTTCTAATTCTATACACCAACACTGGGGAACGTTTGTGGGAACTCTGGGCTTATTGGCTAGGGGAATGATTACAGTGGCCAAAATTCTGTCATGTGAGGACAAGAAAAAGATTTCCAGCTTTTTTTCTGGCCTTGGGTTAGGAGTCATATTGGACTTCTCAAAATATCATTTGGGCATAGAAATGTTACTATTTTTTTTAAAAGACAGAAAATATATTGTTTGCAATTCTAGTCAAAGGAAGCTATGAACACTATATACTGTATAGTCTTTAAGATGCGTATTATTATTACAGTTGTCGAAAGCACTCAAAAGGATGTTTCTAAAGAAGAGCAAAGGCTGTTGTAAAGCATTAAAATTGCTACTTAGATTGTCTCTTTATAAATATGCAAGCATAGACAACCCTCCCATCGAATTACCAGTATGCATACCCATACATGGAAAGACAACTGCAATGCATTCCATATAGAATGCACAGCTTGAGTATATACATTTCTGCTATAAAAGCTGACATTGGTATTTTCATTTTGAAGCCCTTTGATCCTCTAGACATGCAAAAGGCATATATTTAGTACAGTAACAATCCCTTCTTTTTCCTTTTTAACATGACATTCTTTACCAAGGAAATTTATTCTTGGAATAATTGCTGAGCTAGTAAACAACCATTTTTGCATATATGTTGTCTGAGCAATAATCAGTCATGCTTGGAACGTACCTCGAACTAGCTGTGTGCACTTTACCACATGAGTATGAGGATGATCTATGGTGATTTCAAATCCTAGAAGAAAAAAGAAAATGTTTAGAACGTGGATATAACTTGCTTGTAATTCTACCTACCATGCATGTCTCTGATCCTGGGAGACAAAGTAGATTGTTCCTCCAGTCAATTAATACCGCTCTGTGTTCAGATGCAAACAGGACATCTCCTGGGCTCAAATACATCAATTATCTAGCACAAGAATGCAACAGATATTGCAAATTTCTGAAATACTAAATTTCTCGATAAAAATACTGACACACATTCAAATATTCTAAAATTGATTATGAATTAGAGAATAAAATTCTAGCAACTACTAGTTTTTCTGCACACTTTAGTAAACCAAGCAAATGTTTTAGAATAGTTTTTAATCAATTTTAAGTTTGTTCTGAGAAGATTTTTATTTCATTAAAGGAAATTATATGAAAAAACTAATATTCTTTATTCCTGCAAATTAACAGGATATACAAGTTTATAAATTATGTTCACACATCACAATTGTTAAGCATCTATGACAAATTAACTTTAACCTGTTTCATGCATTATAATGTTTCACAGCTAGGATTAACATGCTTTCACATTGTATAAGTCAAAGTCAAAATGTCTTGCTCAACAGTAATAGAAAAGCATTTTGCATATAACAGTAAACAGTAGGAACACATATATATATATATCATTTTATAATGGCAAGCCTACCAACTATCAAAGTGCAAAAAATAGCATTTTAATTGCTAAAAACCTTTCAAATGAAGAATTACATTTAAGATGCAGTGAAAGCTTAACATTAATAATCTATAGTAATTTATCAGGATATTTATTTCCTATCCTGGATTATCGAACTGATATAGTAATACAGTTGAAACATTAGACTGTCAAGCTGCTAAGGCTTCAATCCAGAGTACAATGGAACCTAAAGGATATAAATCCTGTTAAAAAGAAAATCCTGTTTGCACATTCATAGTTGTACGAATATATTCACTCAAAACATAAACAAGTCATAAACTGGCCATTATGACAAGGACTGTCGCCTGGACTGATGGCTTCCCATATTGGTCAGCTGTGAAGAAGACTGGGGTTGGGTTAGACTCTCCATTCTGCGGAACATTCCTGGGTCTGAGATTCATGAAGCAGCCCGTCCGCTTGGAAAACTTACCCAGGGTCTGCAGTATTATGCTCTCTAGAATGACCAGGTCTTGGGCTTGTTGCAGGTAACCCTGGGGTTGAGAGGACAGGCAGGTTACTTGTGATGAGGCACTCTGTATTAAGCCTGCATATTTCTAACACTCTCTTGAGGAGGCAAAAACATCAAGGGGGAATCTTTATCATATTTATGCTGGAGAAAATGGGGATAAATTTCCCATTTCCGGGGGAAAGAGCACCAAATGCGCACAGAAGAAGAATTGCTGATTGCATACTGCTACTGTTGAAATTGTCCTGTAGCAGAAGCTCAAAATTGCCTTTTTGTTCAAATTTAGTTTTAAAATAAAGCTTCCCCCTTGTTGGCAAGGTTAGATGTGCTGGTCCTGTCAGGAAGGGCTGTGGTAAGAACTGAAACAATGTGCTTAATAATTTTTATTTGAACAGTAAAAACGACCGGATTTCACAAATCAACTTCTATATAACCATAAGAGTATGATCCTGGCAGGCAACATCTAGGATCAATGCAAGTTGTGCTACACACCAAGCTTTTATCAACACACTGGCCAGAACACATAGGACAGACAAGCAATTTGGCTTACAAAACCGAGAGCTTTCTGTACTATGCACCAAGAGCAGTAACTCTTTATCTATATTCAACTGTTAAATACTCTTATTCTGGAAATTATTCAGTTGTATTTCAAGGTGGCTGCAGCACTCTCAGTAAAATGAAGCATGGTGGATTTGCACTGCCAGGATGTGTTCTTTCTCTCTGATTTATTGTATACAGTACATTTTTCACAGAAGTTTAACTACTTACCTCACTCCGTGTATCAGGAGCAGCTTCCAAAGGGTGCAGGCAGGCATGAGTAACTTTGATGACATGCTCCAATTTTCGAGGTTGCTCCTCCACCTTGGCTGCCAGGAAAAGGGCAGCTGGTGCCACAGCCTTTATAGAGAAGAAATGTATTGAATATACCATCTCTCAAATAGCAAAATCACTCTACTCTGAAACGTGCAAAGGAAAATAAATATACATTAGAACCAAGTGGAAAAAACTATTTGCAAACAGTTGAAGCAGGAATGTTTCATCACTCTGAATTTTCAGTCTGCAAAGTTTTTTTTCTCCTTAGACGTTACAAAAACGCATTGTGAGCATAATTTTTTGTGAGCATATGTTTATTATTGAATGATACAAAATAAAATCTTAGTAAAGAAAATAAATAAGATCTTACAAAATAAATCTTAGTAACTTAACATCTGCACAAATCCAGCTAAAAGTTTGAAGTCAGAATATGTAGGTTTATTATAAACTGCTTATGGGAAACCTTATAAACTGCTTATGGAAAACCATAAACTATTCTCAGTTGCAATGTTGAGAATTTAAGATGTTTCTCTCAAAGGTAAACTTCTTTGTATGTCAGGCATCCAACTAACGTGTCAATGTTTTAGCAAGCATTTTATCAGTAATGCCTGAAAATTTGCCACATAGTTTGCCAATTGTTGTTATATTCTAAAGTAGCATTGCTTATAATTGTTATTTAAAGTATTTTTTAATGAAGAATCTCATTATTACTTGTAAGCATGTAGCAAGTAGATTGAAGCATACATTTGATGGAACCTATTTCTGAAGACTTAACTCCACATTTTTAACTATTAAAATTCTACTACTTTAATCTATTAGCCAAAAAGAAAATATATAATAAATCCATTCAGAACTCCAGCTGAGAAACACAAACTGATAACATACTTACATTTCGATGAAAGTGGGTAAAGGATTGAACCATGTAGAATCGATGCATATAAACAATTGCTGTATTAATAGTCAGTTGAGAACTAGTGGTTCATCATTAAGGAAGATGTTAAATTTAATAGTGCATTATTCTTCCAAAGATTATATGAAAGCTAAGTATTAAAAAAGTTGACTTCCTAAAACTAAGCCAAGAACAGAACTTATTTGAATAAAACTATACATGGATTTAAACAATTAGATTCTGACTTAAAACCTTACGTAAATATTTTAGTCAGTCTTAAATTTGAATTTGTTTTGTGTGTGTGTGTGTGTGTGTGTATGTGATATAGATAGGCACCTGGTATGCCCCAAATATGGGAGGGAGCTGATAAGGGAGGAGAGCTTGTGACTTAAACTACCTAACATGTAAAATAGCCCAAGTTCAAATCCCAGTAAGGGTATGGCTAGCTGATGAGAGCTAAATAGTTTGAAATAGATCTATACTAGTCTCCCTTCATTTATTTATCAGCAAAAAAAATTATATATATATNCCATTTGTGGTTCAGGCAGACGCCAGTGATGTGGCGGTGGCTGCAGTCCTCTTACAAAAGAACAATGAAGGAATCCTACAGCCATGTGCCTACACCTTGAGGAAGTTGACTGGGACTGAACGCAACTGGCCCATTGGGGAGAAGGAGGTGTTCGCGGTCTGGTGGGCCCTGTTGATGTGGCAGCATTTACTAGAAGGGGGAGGGATACCCTTCAAGGTCTGGACAGACCACAAGAATTTGGAGGCCCTCCAGACCCTGCGAAGAATGTCACCAAAACAAGTTATATTTTCGGTGATTCAACTTCCAATTAAAATATATACCGGGGGGGCGGGGCAAGAACTTCTTAGCCGATGCTCTCTCTTGCAAACCACAGTATCACAATAAAAGGGAGGATCTAGTGCAGGCTATCATTCCAACCTCACAGCCTAGGGTGTTAGCCACTCAACAGGCCCCACCTGTATGCCCAGGGGGAGGGACCTCTCCAGAGCAATCCAAGCAGCACTCCCAATGGACCAGTGGTTTCAAGACAATCAAACATTGTTAACACAGTGGGCTTTGCCTGGAAGGAGTCGAAGTTATATGTACCAAGTGTGGTACGGGTGGCTCTGCTGCGGCACTGCCACGACATTCGCTCGGCTGGACATTTTGCGTTCCTCAAGACTTTGCATTTAGTAAATTGCCAGTTCTGGTGGCCGCACATGAAGAGGGACATAGAGGGCAGAAAAACTGCAGCTACTTCTTGTTACTCCAGATTAGCTGTTGAATCTGATCGTTTGGATGGTCTGAATCAGACCCCAGCTGCCCCGAAGAGACAGTGGGAGGGAGGGGGAAGCCCTGTGAACCCAGAGACACCTGCAAAGTCTCTGGGAAAACAGGAGAAAACCCCTTTTCCTCGCAATCTTGAGCCAGCCTCTAGGCTGCCGAAGCTGCCGACAGCTCCACAAAGCAACAGCTGGAGAGAGAATGAAGCATGCCGATATGGTGAGATCTTTTATAAGTTTTTTTTTATTCTAAAGAGAACACCCTAAACTTGAAGATTTAAAGAAAATAGAGTATAAANCCCTCCTTTTGACTTTAGGAGGTTAGTGATTGGAAGAGCGATTTTAGCAAAAGAGGGAATTAATTGACGATAGAAGTTAGCAAATCCAAAAAAACTCTGTAATTGCTTACGTGTGCGAGGCACTTCCCATTCGGTGACAGCTTTCACCTTTGCCAGGTCCATCTCTATCCCTTTGTGGGAGATCCGATACCCCAGGTAATCCACCCTCTCCTGATGGAATTTGCATTTGGATAATTTGGCATATAGTTCTGCCGCGCGTAGTTTCTTGAGAACTGTGAGCACAAGCTTCACGTGTTCTTCACGTGTTTCCGTGTAAATAAGGGTATCGTCTAGATAGACCATCACGCCCTTGTAAAGATGGTCATGCAAAACTTCATTAATTAACTGCATGAAAACCGCTGGCGCCCCCTGGAGGCCAAATGGCATTACTCGAAACTGGAAGCAACCAAGGGGGCAGTTGAATGCAGTCTTCCACTCTTCCCCCTCCTTAATTCTAACATGATAGTATGCTTCCCACAGGACCAATTTAGTGAAAATCTTCCCCTTTCCTAGTTGCGCCAGGATGTCCTTCATCAGTGGTAAAGGGTAGAGGTTTTGGGCAGAAATGCAGTTCAGATTTTTAAAATTAACACACAAACAGAAGGAGCCATCCTTCTTCTCTCTGAATAACACTGGGGCTGCTACTTTGGGTCTTGCTGGTTCAATGACGCCCCTTTCCAGGTTTTTATCAATGAATTTTCTCATTTTGTCCATCTCCCTAGGGGTCATTGAATAAATCTGGGGTTTACCATGCCCCCCCTCCCCGTTTCAATGGCAGCCGAAAAGCGGTAGCAAAGCAGAGGCTGACAGGTACACATTCCGGCCGGTGATGAATGAAAGACAGCCTTCAATTGTCCTCTGGGCAGTTACCAGTTCTGGGTTATGCTCTTCGGACTGCAAGGAGCCCCAGCAGTGTTCATGCAGCTAATTAATGAGGTGCTGCACAAGCATCTATATCAAGGGTGTTAGGAATATAATGTAACTGTTGGGTTGGCAATATATAAATCAGGTAACAATGNTCCTCCAGTACATTATGATTCCCCACCCAAATACCATGCCCCCCCCTCCCCGTTTCAATGGCAGCCGAAAAGCAGTAGCGAAGCAGAGGCTGACATCCGGCCCTCCTTCAGAAAAGGACAGTCACACCTGCAGAGACGAAAGAACACAGACAAACAGACAAACAACACAACATAAAAGAGAAAAGGGGAAGGGGAGTAATTAGAACTCCATAGAGAGGTCAAGGTTTGTCTGGGTAGGTAGAGTAGAATTTGCGAAGCAGACGAGGAGCACGCACATGGGATTTGTCGACCCATTCAGTGTGAGAAGGGGGAAAATGCTTCCAAGCGACCAGATATTGAATACGGTTTCTCCGTTTACGAGAGTCCAAAATTTCCCGGACTTCAAAATGCTGCTCACCCTCAACCAAAAGTGGGGCGGGTGGAGGCGGTAAAGGAGCCCTCAATGGAGAAGTACGCTCTGGTTTCAGGAGATTAACATGAAAAACAGGATGAACTCGGTTGAGATGCTTAGGTAATTGGAGATGGACGGAAACTGGGTTGATAATTTTGACAATTGGAAACGGGCCAACATATTTTGGACCCAACTTCTTAGACTTTTGAGTTGTCTGAAGAAACTTAGTGGATAAATAAACACGATCACCGACCTTATAGTCATTAGGTTTAGATCTCTTCCTATCCGCCTGTTTCTTGTGCGTGCGGTGTGCAGCATCTAGCGCCCGGTGCGCCAAAGGCCACATCTCCCGAAGGCGATCACTCCACTCGGAGAGAGAGGACACTTGTGGTTTCTCGCAGGGAATCTCGGGGATGGGTACAAAATCATGTCCGTAAACCACCTGGAAGGGGGTGAAACCAGTGCTACTGTGCACTGAATTGTTGTATGCTACCTCAGCATGAGGCAACAAGTCCACCCAATTATCTTGCTGGTAGTTGATGAAACAACGAAGATATTGNTGTGCTATAAGAGACATCTCCGTAGCTGAGATATGCATGTTAGAACAAGTTCCTTTTAAAATGATACGAGGTTTTTTTGAAAGGATTTAAAAACTTAAACCTGTTTTCTACTTGTAGCACCTCTTAGTCGAATGTAAATTAACCATGTTTAATTGATTTATCACTTCCTTCTCTATCTAACTCACACACCTTATCTAACTAACTGTAGTCCAGAATGGGACTAAGCAGCTTACCTGTGATCCAAAGTAAACTGTACGTGTTTGTCAGTGGTAGGTTGCAGGTGGGAAGCACAAGGATTTTAATGTAGTAGGGCGGGGGAGGCTGCAGCGGGAGCTTGCGGCCGCGGCTGCTGCTTGGGAGAAAATCAGCTGGCATCTTGAGTGAGATGCAAGCGAAGAAATGGGTCATTGTGGGCATAAAAAGCGCTGTCAGATCGCCTCCCACAGTCCAATAAAGTTGGCTTCGCTTCCTTGTGCAGCAAGAGAGAAAGTTGCCTGAGACGCAGCTTTGTTTTGCCTTGAAACTTGCTGTTCCGGCAACCCGAAGGGGACATTCTCCCAGCATTCTCTCAGGCAACTTTATCTCTTGCCGTTCAAGGAAGCGAAACCAAATTTATTTATTTAACCTTCTGCTCCAGCCTCCCCTGCCCTACTACATTAAGATCCCCACGCTTCCCATTCCAGCTGGAAGCACGCAGGCCATGCGAGCGAGCAGGTGCATGAGGCCCCCCGATGATCTGAGCGGAGCCGGGAGGCACCAAACTGCACCCAGCCATCCTCACTCCCTCCCGGCTAAGGGTGGGAGTGCCTGAGATGCCACTGGGAGAATGTCCCCTTTGGGTTCCCAGAACAGCAAATTTCAAAGCAAAACGCTGCTGCTGGAATCGGTGCACCACTGCGCCTGCAACTTAATGCTCTCCAAGAAGCCTGCATTACCGGGAGCAGCAGAAGGAGCAGCAGCGAGTGCCACTGCCACCACCAGTGTCTAGCGTCCTCCTCAGGAGCCTCGAGTTGCAGCTGTTTGTGCGTATCTCCTGAGATTCTCTTGGGAGGTGAAATGGCAGGCGCCCCACTGGCAGAGCCTCTGGGTGAAAGGCGAGTGAAGGGCGCAGTGATGGGAGAGGCTGGCCATCCCCAAAGCCAGCTCTCAAGGAAGTAGGCAGAGATGAGGCTTCCCAGCTGGCAAAGAGCCAAGGTGGCACAGTGGTTATGGTGCAGTACTGCAGGCCACTTCAGCTGACTGTTATCTGCAGTTCAGCGGTTCTAATCTCACCGGCTCAAGGTTCCATCCTTCCGAGGTGGGTGAAATGAGGACCCAGA